CTGGGGATCTGGTTTAAATGCTCAAGTTCTGTAAGGCGGACGGTTGATGGGCTTGGATGGGTTTCATCGGGGCCAAGATATCCGACAGCTCGGTACTTGGGGATAATGATGCCGATGAGTATTGGGGGGGGGGAGTTATCACGTTTGTGCATGACATGAAGGCCTTTTTCGCACAAAGCCTCCAACTGGGACCGGTACGAATCATCGGCTTTTCTGCCGAAGCATGAGGCCCTCATCCTAAACCCCAGATGCCCCTAAACCCCCAAAGCCCTAAACCCTTAACTTCAATCCACCCTAAACCCTAAACCCAAAACCATCCTAAACCCTTAGCCTCAATTCACCCTAAACCCTAAACCCTTAACCTCAATCCACCCTAAACCCTAAACCCTCCTAAACCCTTAACCTCAATCCACCCTGAACCCTAAACCCTAAACCATCCTAAACCCTTAACCTCAATCCACCCTAAACCCTGAACCCTAAACCATTCTAAACCCTCAACCTCAATCCACCACAAAGTGTAGTAGGAGAGGGAGAAAGACCATCGTTCTGGTCGGCGGACACCACCCGGGTCGAAGGCAGCGATGTCCGCCTTTGTGCTGTTCAAAGGGTAAGACTCTAAAGGGTTCCTGTAAAGGTTTTCAAAAGGGCACGGCGTTTTTTTTCAGAGTTTTCGGGACTGGGGTTTGTATCGGATTTTGGTACTTTTGGGCATTGGGAGAATTGATGGTAGGCATTTGGGGGCAATTTCAGGTGTTGTGGGCTTTTAGGGTTTTGAGATTAGGACTTAGGCTTCAAAAGTGGTTGAGGATTCTGGGCTGGCCTGACTTGCATGAAGGGTCCTGCTTGATTTAGGGTTGACGGCTTCGGTCATGCAAGTTGCACAAAATGTTGCCATTATTCTCCGCGTGTTCCGGCTGCCAGGAAACGGCCCGTGATGTTTACAATCCAATCACATCCTGTTCATAAAAATGTGAAGGGGCTGACGCGGCTGGAGAAGCCTGAGAACTCGCACGCCCTAAATGCCAACAAGAGCAACCCGAATCCTCATCCTGTCAACCGTGCATGCCTGGAATGCAGAGGAATTGTTCATGTAATCTGTTCCCTTACTCTGAACAGGAGACAGCCCAAGCAGTCCAGGGTAAAAATGTCATATAGGGAGTCTAAGGAACTAGCGTTTACACCCCGCCCGAGGAAAAACTTGCGCAGCCCCGCCGCGTGCCGCGACGAAACCACCACTCAACTCAAAAGAGACAGAATGCTTACCCTAAACCCTAAACCCTAAACCCTTTTGTCATTGGATGCCCCGAAGTCAAGGCATAACCCCAGCCTCCGGCGGAACGGCTGTTCACAGCCTAACACCTTCTTCGAATCATCTAGGCCCCCTCACTGCAGCCCTACACTCTAAATTCAATCCCTGGGGCGACCACTGTTGGGGTTACGTGTTCATGGCGTTTAATCCATGAGCCTTACCACTGCCCCCAAACGCAAGAATCGTAAACCTGGGGTTTAGGGCATTGGGTTTAGCGTTTCAGGTTGTAGAGCCCGACGCATGAACCATACTCAGAGGTTCACTTCCTTTTTCATACGTAGAAACCAAGAAAGCCTGTGAACCTGAAACCGCTGCAGCTGGGTTCTTGTTAATGAACTTAACTCATGTTACCAAAAGAGGGATCTACAGTAAATAACATGGTTTCCTTATTTTGGTAACTTTTTTCAAGTCTCTTAGCCTGACCCCGCTTCAGGGCAGCTCTGATGAAGCTCCCGTCGTGGTGGTGATTCGCATGCTGCTAACCTTACTTTGCACCCATCCTGCATCTGAGACATTAAGAACGAAGGGGTGCTCTTCTCAAGATCCTGGGCGTTATAAAATTGAGGACCCCTAGATACTGTTAGGGATTGTTATGAGGGCCCACTGAGTCTTGAGACATCTGCATCAAATCACTTAGAAGAAGGCTTTGCGCTCAGTCAGTGAGGTAATTCAAATTTCCAGTCTAAGTCAGTAGCCTTCCTATGTTGGGGCGTTATTCCCATACTTAGAGGCTCAGGAGACTTGTATGTATAGGTTCAAAAGAGGATAGCTCAACTTCCGGCGCGCATAACCCTAAGCACTAAACCCTAAACCCTAAACCCTAAACCCTAAACCCTAACCCCAAACCCTAAACCCTGATCATAGAAGCACCCTACAAAGCCCAGAGCCCTTCTGGGATAGGGGGGGAGTAACTCACTCAATCTACCACTACTATTTTGGGGTTCCTTAGGGTTCCTTATGGTAATCATAGTTAATATGCCCTAACTACCAATACTATTCTGGGGTTCCGTA